GCCTGGTTCCCAGGGGACCGGGGAGATTTTGCGATGGCTCCCTTATTAATATTATCCCCTCCTGTTTTTGTGTGTTTTTTACAGTTTTTTATATGTGGTTTTTTTTTAATGTATTTTTTTTAATTGTTGTATGCTGCCCAGAGTCACCTTTTGTGATATGATAGATAAATAAATAAAGCAGCAAGCTTTTTTTATAGAAAGTAAAACTATGTCTGCCAACGGTGAAAGTCATATGGCTCATGTGAGCAGGAAACAGCTGGTGAATTCGCATCGTTTTTTGCATCAAAATGCCAGTCTCTGCTCTGACCTTCTAGAGATTCTTGAGCCTATGTTACAGACACACCCCTAAGAAATTTTCATAGCAACAACTCCCTTCCCAGGCGCTCACCCTGGGAGGGGAAACACACAGACAAAGCACTTGGCTGACAGACAGAGTCAGGAGAAAGATCCTTCTCTCCCTCTCTTTGGAGCTGACAGGGAAAAAGGCTGGGGGGTGGGGGGAAGGTCCATAGCAGACTGCCACTCCGGTGCTATCCCCCCACTCAGCCACCGCCAACTCTCCAGAGCCCCAAAGTCTTGGCTCACCTCTCCGGGTGAAAAGTCCCATGGAATCATAGAGTCCAGACAAACACATCGACCCCGGCATGGCCCAATCTCCAGCCTGTCCCAAGGACCAGTCCGCTGGCTTTTCCTCCAGCTCTTTCTCCAGCCAGTTCCATCTACCACAAAAACACCCCAGTGTACTTAAGGAACAATCCCTGGCTCCAGGCCTCATAGGGCATCCCAAAAGCCCAGCGACGCCTACCCTGGCTGACTGGCTCAAACCTCCCACCAGGACATCAAGGCACAGGCAACGCCGTGGGTGTTCTGGCAGCACGACAGCTGTGGCAGCGACCCAGGCTACTGGTGTCAGCCCCAAACAGCTAACAAAATGAAGAGACTGAAGGCTTATCCAAAGTCCAGTCCAGTCTCAAGTCCAGTCCAAGGAAACGCCAAGATGGTAATAACTCAAACACAACTCCGAGGGGACAATCGAGTGGCACCTCTCCTCCTCCATCTTACCAGAAGTACCTTCTCTTCTATTGGTTACAGCAAATTCTAACTTCATGAATTTTCTGATCCCGCACACAATAAAACACCTATGAAGGACAGCAAGGGTAAAACTCAGTAGTTCACATTGGAGCCAAAGTGGGGCATGATATGACCGTTCACCCATGATTGTCAGTTACCATGGTTTATTAAAGCCAAAAAAGTTTTCACCCTTTTATTTTCACCCTTCAGATGGAGTCGTCAGGCCTTATTGTCCTAAAGGACATCAGGGCTCCTTTAGCAGAGTTAGGCAACTCTGGTCTGTTCTTGCTTCATTCTAGGTATCCTTATAGAAAATAAGGATGGCAGCTATTTCATTTTTAAAGTCTGGGCCACCATCTGAAAGGTGACCTGGGGAGATTTCTCCTACATTATCCGTGAAACACCCAAATCCAAAAGTGTGGATGAATCAACCTGGAATGCAGCTCTGAACAAACCAGGTTTTCTATTTGGCTTTCAGATTTCACTTCTGCTCACAGAAGATATTTTCAGCAGCTAAGCAAAAGCTTTTCATGTATTCCTAGACTCTCTTCCAGCTCTGTCTCTGTCTTTTTATATGTTTGTGTGCTCTTTTAAGGAGACTAATTTTTTGGAAATTTTTGTATGATTCTTCACAATTTCAGTGTACCAGTTGAAGCTGTGGTTCATGGATGAACTCGCAGAGCAGCTCTGAGGAACAGGCAGTTTTTGCTTGGCTTCAGATTCACTTCCTCTCACTGTGTCTCTCGCACAATAATAGCGTCCCGTGTCCTCCAGCTTGAGGTTGTTCATTTGCAGATACACCTGGCTTTTGGCATTGTCCCTGGAGATGGTGAAGCGTCCGTTGACCTTGTCTGAGTAGTAAATACTGCTGGAATCGTACCTAATGTATGCCACCCATTCCAGTCCTTTCCCTGGATACTGCCTCACCCAGTTCATGCCATAGTCACTGAAGGTGAATCCAGAGCCTTGGCAGGAGAGGCGGAGGGAACCTCCAGGTCTTCTCACATCCCCTCCAGACTCCACCAACTGGACCTCTGACTGGACACCTAGAAAGAAATGCTCTTTAATAAGACCTTCTGCGGGTAAACACACACACACTCACAGACACACATACACACACACACAGGGGATAAAACATTTCTTTTTGGAGGGGGGAAATATTACCTTGTAGGATTACTAATAACAATATCAGGTTCATCCAAGGTGTCATTTTTGCTTGCTCTAAAGATCGGAGGAGTCTTACTGATGGGAAAACATTCAGAGAGGCACTCAATATTTGTGTTCCTGGGCATAGCAGGAGAGCAAGAAGATATGGCTCCTTTCAGCAGGAAGTTGTCACTGGATTTGCATAGCCCTCAAGATAAAAGAGCCATGCCATGCCCTGACTTTCTAAATTTCCTTCAAACTACATTGCAGACATACTGTTGAAATGCTGAAGAAGTCCCAACACCACTCAAGGCAGAATATTTTAATAATTAAGAAGTATGTGAAGCAGCAGGCTTATTTTATAGAATGTAACAGTATGTCTTGCCGATTCATCCATTCAGAAAAGCATTTCTGGAATCAAGTCTCAAACTTAAGGTGGACAAGGACTTATCAAGGATGCTTTAATAGCCACATTAGAGAGAAAATGGGAGAGAAGGAGACCCATCTCTGCCGTTGCCCCCTCCCTTTGCAACATTCTCCCCCCAGAGGTGTGGCGGGGCCCTACTATGACAGCCTTCCAGAAGGAATTGAAGACCTGGCTCTGCCAGCTTGCGTGGGGTAATAGCACCCTTGCCAATCCTGGGAGTGGCTATCACCTTGATGACACCATGATGATGGCTGAGTGACTGCCAATTATTCTTGGATGTATTTGTTTTCTATTGATTGTTGTAATTTTGTACTTTTAATTGATTTTAACTGCTTTGTAAACTGTGGAGAGTTGTTCAACAAGATGGGCAGTGACAAATTTGATAAACAAACAAACAAAGTTTGGTTTAAGTGTTTTTCTCTAATGATGTTTTGTTAAACCTGAATTAATTTAGTGCACACTAAGGAGTGAAAAATGATTTGCTAAAGCACTGTTTGTTTGTTTGTTTGTTTGATGTGATGGGGTGAGATGGTTCCTCAGGTAACCTGGACCCATGCCATGTACGGGTTTAATGGTGAAAACCAACACTTTGAATTGGACCTGGAAGCAGACTGAGACACAGTGCAGCTCGTGTAGTAAAGATCTTATATGCACCGTTCTCTGGGCACTTAAAATTGTCTGTGCAGCCACAGTTTGAACCCGGTGTAGCTTCCGGATACTCTTCAATGGTAACCCCATGTTGACCGCATGGCAATAGTGTAGCCAGGAGATGACTAGTGCATGAGTGACTGATGAGCCTCTTGATCCAGGAAGGGGGTAACTGGCTTACCCCATGGAGGTGTGCAAAGGCTGTCCTGGCCATGACTGCCACATGCTCCTCGAGCAGGAGTCATGAGTTCAGGAGGACCCCCAGATTATGCACTGAGTCCATTGGGACAGTGCAAGCCTTTCAAAAACCAAAGATGGTCAATCCTTGGATACAGAGGGGCCTCCAATCCATAGTCACTCAGTCTCACCAGGGTTCAGCTGAAGTTTGTTCCACCCCATCCAGACCCCCACAGCCTCCAGAAACCAGAAAAGGGTGGTCACAAGATCTCTTACCTCACCCGGATGGAGATGTATAACTGGGTATCATCTGAATATTAATGATACTTCATCCGATGGTGGCAGATAACGGAACCTGGTGGTTTCAGATGTTAAAAAGGAGCATTGGTAGTACCATACCCTGGGGCACCCCACAAAGGCAGGGCCGTGAGCTGGACATCTTGCCCCCAATCAACAAAAAATGGGATTAACCTGGGAGGAAGGAAGGGAACCAGCACAAAACTGTGCTGCCCACTCCCTACTCCCCAAGTCGACACAAAAGGGTACCATGGTCGATAGTATCAAAAGCTGATGAGAGGTCAAGAAGAACAAGGATGGATGCAGTACCCCCATCCCACTCCCGCCAGAGATCATCCATGAGTGCGACGAATGCCGTTTCCATCCCATATCTGGGCCTGAAACCGGACTGAAAAGGTCCAGATAATTCATTTCCTTTAGGATCCTCTGGAGCTGCAATGCCACCACCTTCTCAACCACTTTCTATAAAAAAGGGAGGTGGGAGACTGGACGAAACTTGTCCACTATGGTGAGATCCAGTGATGGCTTCTTGAGTCTTCCCAAAATCAAAATCAAGAAATCACATGATGACCACACACCCTCTCAGGGGACTGACAGAGAGGATTAATTGATTTTGCAATATCCCAAAAATGCAGTTTGTTTTACATTCAAGAGAAAAGCGATGGAGAATATTCCACTTAGAATTACAGAGAAAATGAAGGTCACTGGAATAGTTCACCTTCATTGGACCATTTCTAGGGACTTTCAAACAAACAGTCAAGGAAATAGGCCCCCAAATAAAACCCCATCTGGAAACTCTGGTTATCATTGCCTATCTCTCTGTCATGGCACATTTATTCTTTGTGACAATAATGGCTTGCAGTGTGAAAGATGAGAAGTAACAACATAAGATGGACTGTCCAGGACATGCTTGTATTGCAAGAGGGAAAGAAATTCTGGGAAGAAATGGTTGATCTCCAGGAGATTTAAGGAACTCTATT